AGCCGCGAGAGCGGCCATCAGCTTACAGCTTTGGACGGGAGACGAGGACAATTCCTCCAAGTGGCGGCATTTTGCGGGCACGAGTGCACAGCAACCGCACTCTCCGCCTGGGGAATGTCAACGTACCCCCTAGCCGCCCCACCATCGAGGGTAGTGAGGATGGAGGCAGACGAATGGCTTCTGGCCGAAAAAAGGGGCCTTCCATGACTTCATCAGATCCTCATGCACCTCCGGGAAGAAAGGAACCAGGGCAGGGCATGGTCACGAGCCACGGCCCGTGCCGAGGAACCAATCATCCCACCGCGAGGGCTCGGGACTGGGAGGTGTGCACGCCTCCAGCCCGATGCTTGCAGCGGCCCGGGAAAGCACGGCCGTCAACTCTGGTTCCGATTCGGCAGCCAACACCCGAGGGGGGCCGCCCCGCTGAATCTTCATCCTCAGAGGACGATTGCCCATCCCACGATGCTTCTATCGACATCTGATCCTCTATTGGCGTGCCAAATTAAAACGCTGGACACGCCGTGAGATGGCACTGCAGAATCACCAGGGAGCCGCACAGAACAGCTGCTGCGGGAGGAGTGAGAGGTCCGTGGGGACTGGCCCGGCGGAAAGGCTCTCACTGTAACCCTCAGATCGCCCAGAGCACTAACTGATGGTTGTCTGCTCGCGGCAGAGAAGCCAGCGCGGGTAGTGACAGAGGGAGCCCCCCCATCCCCGTGAGGAGAGAGAGGCGTGATCGCAGCGCTGCCATGGTCACACGCTCACAGTGAACGCATGAACCCTCCACGAACGCAGCTTCAGCGTGCTGAATGCCCAGACACTGAAGACAACGATCGTGGCTGTCAACAGAGGATAGAAAAACGATCGCAACCAAGAGGACACGGCCGGCCGTCTTTAAAAAGACGCGAACCGACCGTGATTTGCTCTTTTAGGAAATCTGCTCTTTTAGTTGAAGTGCCCAGGGGAATCGCTGCAGACAGGAACACCGCTGTTCGCACCGTGATGCCAACCAGAACAGCTTCCAGACAGATGATGAATGGCTTTGTGGAGATCAGCAAGTTCATCCACTCGGTTCCGAAGCAAAAATCTGAAGAGTGGATGCACCTGTCGCCTATTTATACCCGTATGCACGGGGAGTGGCTCAGGTATGCAAAATCCACTAGCCAAATTTCATTGGCGTTTTCTCTTAAAGTCAGAGATGATTGGGGCTCCCAAGTGAATCCCCATAATGTCGATCACGACATAACTCGTAGTGACCGACAGATGGGGAACTGTGCTGCCAAAATGAATCACAATGAGCAATTTCTCAAAAATTACTTATTTTTTTCACATTCTCCATTAAAAGACCTTGATGATGTATGATTTGTTGGAATCGGACAAAAAATGGCTGCGCTACACCTGTTTGAAGTCGACATCTAAACAAAAAGCATTCAAGAAAAACAAAATAATCAAATGTAAAAATCCCTTTAGTGTGTTCAATACAATAAATTGATTATTACAACTACAAAAGCAGTTCAATCAGCAGTTCAATATTTTTATTGTTAGATTAACATTAATGAGGCGGTCTATAAAGACCTACTGTAATGCACGGATCTAATATAATGTTACACATCAGATGTTTTTCCCCAACAATTCCCCGAACGTTCACTTTTGTTTTGTTTTGATTATGTTTGCGTGAATACTTAAATACTGTAATTCTGTGTATCGGTATCGCGCTGTCGGAAGCGCCTTTATACGCGCGCTTCGGATGACAGTCAGCGCGAGAAGCGAGCGGAGAAAGGGTACTCCTCTCAGAAAACGTACAAATAAAGATAATTTTAGATGTTTAATTGCTATTTTGAGCATTAGGATCGCTAGACGAGGGCTTAATGAACTCATTTTTGTGAAAACCTCACATTTGACTAAAATCTAAATTTTTGCATTTTTTGCCTGTAGCTCAAAATTAGCGTGCGCATACCAACTCATTTTGCCAGCACGGGTCACATATACCGTATATATATTTATTTACTATCACGCAAATATGGGGGAAAAGGAAATACATGTGTAAACCTTCTTTAGGCAATATTTTGTGCCATGTGCTCTGGGTTTTCTGCTGATTACAAATTTGACCACTGACATGCTTATATATATATGATCATGATTTACATGAGACAGAGCAATAATACATAAATAATGGACCCTTTAATATTTATATGCATTAAACTGTAATGACATGCTTTCTGTGCTTGTTTTTTGGAGCTATGACACCATCTTTTAAAAAAGCAAACTGAAATGCCAGCCATGCTATATGAATGTTCTGTACTTTCATAGCAGACAAGTCTATATAAAATACATCGTCTTTTTAGACTCTTCAATATAAATAATTCAGCTAATATTAGTGCACAAACATGGACAAAAATGTACAGTTCTGTTCTGATTAAGCCCATATAATTATTGAGTCATTTTGTATTTTCGACTACAAACTGAAGTTAGCCATCTGAACTGGAACATTCATTTGCGAAGAGGAGTGACAAATTTTCAACTAATCATTTTAGAGGGGGTGGAGCAGAGTCCTGTTTGGTGGGACAGAGGGAAGGGGACAGTTGCTTTAAGCTACATTACACAGACTTCAAAGATTCATATCACCACCGCTCTTGAGACTGTTCATGAATACATCTTTTGGAAAACAGGTAATCTGAGGTTTTCATCTGTACTAATTTATGTTTAATACTACAGAAATCTTTGCATTGATTTGTGTTACTTAAGGAAAGTAAATCAGCCTTTAAAGACTAAATTTTTGGTAGGTGATTTAGTCGATACTGTTTATACAGTTTATTAACTTTGTAAACTGTACATTTGTTATGTTTTACAGCTTAAAATGAAATACTGTAAGATATTTCTCTTTCTTCTATTAATGATCATGGATGTCTCAACAAATGCTCAAGGTAACACAATGATACACAGAGTAGCAAAACCAGATGTTTTAAACATCCAATTTGTTGTAAAATATATAATAATATCATGTTTATATATCACGTTTCATTTTTAATGCCTGTCTGAATTCATATATTGTTTTTGTTCATTTCCCATGAAAGTTCATTGACCATAAATCTCAAATAAATCCCAAATGTAGGTTCATGATAGTAGAATATCATGAAAAAGGTCAATATTTTTTGTCACTCGTTTCAGAAAGTGAAACCCATATATTATATAGATTCATAACACCTAGAGTGAAATATTTCAAGCCTTTATTTCTTGAAATTTTGATGATTATGGCTTACAGATAATAAAAACCCAAAATTCAGTGTCTCAGCAAATTAGAATATTACATAAGATCAATAAAAAAAAAGGATATTTTAAACAAAAATGTCAGGCTTCCGAAAAGTATGTTCATTTCTATGCACTCAATACTTGGTTGGGCCTCCTTTTGCATGAATTACTGCATCAATGCGCTGTGGCATGGAGGCAATCAGCCTGCGGCACTGCTCAGGTGTAATGGAAGCCCAGGTTGCTTTGATAGCGGCCTTCAGGTCATCTGCATTGTTGGGTCTGGTGTCTCTCATCTTCCTCTTGACAATACCCCATAGATTCTCTATGGGGTTCAGGTCAGGCGAGTTTGCTGGCCAATCAAGCACAGTAACACCATGGTCACTGAACCAGCTTTTGGTACCTTTGGCAGTGTGGGCAGGTGCCAAATCCTGCTGGAAAATGAAATCAGCATCTCCAGAAAGCTTGTCAGCAGAAGGAAGCATGAAGTGCTCTAAAATTTCCTGGTAGATGGCTGCGTTGACTGTGGACTTCAGAAAACACAGTGGACCAACACCAGCAGATGACATGGCAGCCCAAATCATCACTGACTGTGGAAACTTCACACTGGACTTCAAGCAACATGGTTTCTGTGCCTCTCCACTCTTCCTCCAGACTCTGGGACCTTGATTTCCAAATGAAATGCAAAATTTACTTTCATCTGAAAAGAGGACTTTGGACCACTGAGCAACAGTCCAGTTCTTTTTCTCCACAGCCCAGGTAAGACGCTTCTGACGTTGTCTCTGGTTCAGGAGTGGCTTGACACGAGGAATGCGACATTTGTAGTCTTCTGGACATCTGTCAAGTCAGCAGTCTTCCCCATGATTGTGTAGCCTACTGACCCAGACTGAGAGACCATTTAAAGGCTCAGGAAACCTTTGCAGGTGTTTTGAGGTAATTAGCTGATTAGGGTGTGACACCATGACTTTCCAATATTGAACTTTTTCACAATATTCTAATTTTCTGAGACACTGAATTTTGGGTTTTCATTATCTGTAAGCCATAATCATCAAAATTTCAAGAAATAAAGGCTTGAAATATTTCACTCTATGTGTAATGAATCTATATAATATATGGGTTTCACTTTCTGAAATGAGTGACAAAAAATATTGACATTTTTCATGATATTCTAATTTTTTGAGATGTACCTGTATATGCTGGTCATTTTTGGGATGCTTTTCCTTCACTATCAGTTTAAACTCATCAGTTAAGAGTATTTACATTTTAATTTAAATTATGTACTAAAAATTATATCAACAAAATCCATTTTACTATATATATATATATATATATATATATATTCTTGATACAAAAAATTTAAAGAAAATAAAAAAGGTAATGACAACGTTACCATCTATGTGTTATTCATTAAAACATCTATCATTAATGCATCAAACATTCACACATAAAACCAGTTCCAAACTGGCAATGACTTTAAGATTTTGTTTGCTGTGTATGATTTTCACCTATAAAAACTGTAGGTTTAATCCTTGACCTATTATATTAAGACAAATGACATCTTCTGATGAATGATTACATAAGTTCAGATGGATGACTGCAATGACTAGTATTTCTTCTTTCTCTAGATGTAACATGTCTTCTAAACACAAAAGAGAACAACATCAAAATTAATCAATTCCCTGATTTTGAGTGTCCAGTCAAATCTGGATATAATTTAACGTTTTCATGCAATGGACAAGGACTGATTTTAAAAGGACAGAGAGAAATCACCTGTCAGTCAAATGGAGAATGGAGCAGCCCTTTTCCAAAATGTGAAGGCAAACACACAGAAGGTAAAAGCATTGAATAAGTTGCCAGTATATTATTATCTCAAGCATCACTTTTGCTCATTAAAATTGGCTCACAACTCATCGGGTCTTCAGTCTATCTTGATTTGGGCCAAGAAGCAGCCATCGAGAACAACATAGCAACCACAAAGTTATGAACTAGTAATGTGGCAGCGGGTTTGACGTGAATAAACACCACTCAGATTTTCTTCAGAAAATCAGAGTAATCCAAATCTATTTAATATATTATATTATTGAAAAATATAATATTAGCCCACACAACTAAAAATAAGTTAAAGACTTTGTTTTTCATCTCCCAGTGTGAACCAGCAACTCATCAGAAACTTTCAGAAACGCTTCAACTGAATGTCATTTTCTTTAAGCACATTAATAATAAGTATTTCATTAATAACATGTTCTATGGTTCAGCAGCATAAAAAAGACATCTGGCTAATACTGAGATTTGTTAATGCCACATTTTCTTGGTGACAACAGTCTAAAAATAAAATGTGGCCCAACACCAAACATGAACCATGAGAATGTAGATACAAAATAAAAAATGAATACGATACAGGGAATACAATACAATTCTGGGAAAACAGCAAAAATACTGATGACTCTTCTCTGCTATAAAATTTTTGGTCCAATCAAATGCTCTCTAGAATTAAAATCAATTTAGTATTTTAGTGCCATTGTGCTATACCCTCCTTCCCATAAGACACCAGATTAAGGTAAATTAATAATAGATTTTTTTATCCTTCAGACTTTCTTGTTCTTAAAGGGTGATGTTATGTCCTCAGTATTAAGAAATCAAGAGGTAACAAACAGGTCTGATGCTATTCAGAAAAAGAAAAGAAAAACAGCAAAAGAAATTCAGATTTTTGTTTTAAATGACAGAAAACACATTTTAGTTGGTTCACTTCAAATAAAATGTGTTTATCTAAACACTGTGTAAACATCTTAAAACCAAAAACCTTCATACATAATTGGCCTGTGTTAACACTTAAATACAACATAATTATGTCTTGTACAGCAGTAACCTGTGAGCTTAAATCAACCACATTTGGAGTAAAAAAGATCAAGCCTGAGGAAAAAAACATTTTCAGAGCTGGAGAAAGTGTGGAGCTCACCTGCTCTGAAAAATACTGGTTCCTTGGTACAAAAGAAACCAGCAGATCATTTACATGCAAAGATAATGGAGAGTGGGACTATGAGCCTGTTTGTGCAGGTAAGATTACAGAGAAACATTTCTGGATTTGGTGATGAATTTATTGCATGTTATTAAAAGCATGTGAATCTTGTTTCAGAGATTACATGTGAAACTCCACATGACCAGCATGTGTATTACCCATCCTATTCCTTCAGTGGAGATAAGAAACGGGGAGCAAAAAAATCGTACCGATGTGAGTCTGGATATCGTGAAATGGCAGAAGAGGCCACATGTACACGAGACGGATGGACACCAAAACCACTGTGTGCTGGTATGTTCTGCTATTAAATGTTACAACTTTTACAAAAATAGAGATGATGCTACTTTATTTAAACAGCTGCCAAGTATGATGAACAAACCTGAATTTATCCAAAGATATTAGCAAGCTAAATTTAAAAGAATGAATCTGACTCCACTCAGTCTCTATCCACATATATTTGCTTAGGAAATTTTGGGCACATTTTACATACAGTCAGTACATAACATATATGGCACAAATTCTACATTTTTACATTTTGCACTTACTTGTTCTATTAGCAGAATGTCACAAATCAAATGAGAATTTATTGATGCTGTTGAATGAGACAGATCTGTACAACAACAAAGAAATTCTGAGAAACAAGTGCATTGAGCCATACAATGAAATTCTGGAAAGACAATGCAACACAAGCATCACTTTTGCTCATATTATAATATGTGCGCAAATTGGCACATAAATACGCACGCAAGTTTCTCTTGACTTGGTCTAATTCTGCAGCGTGTTTTGCATGGAGAAACACCACTCATTAATAACATGTTCTGTGGTTTAACAGCAAAAAAAATCATCTGGCTAAAATTAAGATTTACTAATGCCACATTTTTTTGGTGATGACAGTCTCAGAGAAATGTGGACCACCACCAGGCGTGAACGATGCAGATACACTAGAAATAACAAAAAAGGAATACAATACAGGGGAGAGAGTTGAATACAGCTGCTTTAATAAATACACTTTGGATCTGCGTCCACCTTTCTCCAGATACTTGACCTGTGAGCAAGGAGAATGGAGAGGGAATATTAGGTGTTTAAGTAAGTATGAACACGCTTCACCATATATATCATATAAACACATCATGATGTAGTCTTGTAGTTTAAGTTGTAGGTTGTGATGATTAGTTAATGAATGTATATTGTGACACTGATAGTGACATGCTGGGTTTATTTCAGAGCCCTGTACAGTGACGGTAGAGGAAATGGAAAGAAGAGGTTTAGAGTTGGCCTATGCTAATCGACAAAAGATGTTCGCACCACATGATGATCACATCACCTTTATGTGTCAGAGGGGCAAAGTTTCAGGAGGTGTTCCCCTAAGACAACAGTGTAATGATGGAGTGATAACTTTACCTGAGTGTGTGAGACAGTGAGAGTAAAACATTGCTAAATCACTACTAAATAAAAACTAATGGAGCAGATCAAAATAAATAAAAAATTCCCAATCAGTTTCTTTATTTTAAATTTCTTGCAAATAAAACTAAAGAAATGCTAAAAGCAATATTTAAAATGAGCATGTTTGAAAATAACATTAAACCATTTAATGCCAGCTAAGTGAACATATATAGTGTACAGAGTACAATAAAAACTTTTTTTTTTAATTTAAATAAAAAAGTTGCAAAAACTTTATAAGAGAAAGTTAAAAATAATAATGTAGCCAATTTTTTTTTTTACTATCACGCAAATATGGGGGAAAAGGAAATACATGTGTTATTAAACTTTCTTACTTTGTGCCATGTGCTCTTGGTTTTCTGCTGATTACGAATTTGCTTATATATATGATCATGATTTATATGAAACACAGCAGTAATACATAAATAATAGACCCTTTAATATTTATATGCCTGTATTGACATGCTTTCTGTGCTTATTTTTTGGAGCTATGACTTTTTAAAAAAGCATACTGGAATGCCAGCCATGCTACTGTATATGAATGTTCTGTACTTTCATAGCAGACAAGTCTATATAAAATACATTGTCTTTTTAGACTCTTCAAAATAAATAATTCAGCTAATATTAGTGCACAAACATGGACAAAATGTTTCAACCAAAGTCAGCTAATTGAATTGCAACATGAATTTGTGAGGAAGAAAGTTGTCGAGTCATCAAATCATTGTGGGGTGGAGCAGAGTCCTGTTTGGTGGGACAGAGGGAAGGAGACGGTTGCTTTCAGCTACATTACACAGACTTCAAAGATTCATATCACCACCGCTCTCGAGACTGATCATGAATACAGATTTTGGAAAACAGGTAATCTGAGGTTTTCATCGGTACTAATTTATGTTTAATACTACAGAAAGCTTTGCATTGATTTGTGTTACTTAAGGAAAGTAAATCAGCCTTTAAAGACAAAATTTTTGGTAGGTGATTTAGTCGATACTGTTTATACAGTTTATTAACTTTGTAAACTGTACATTTGTTATGTTTTACAGCTTAAAATGAAATACTGTAAGATATTTCTCTTTCTTCTATTAATGATCATGGATGTCTCAACAAATGCTCAAGGTAACACAATGATACACAGAGTAGCAAAACCAGATGTTTTAAACATCCAATTTGTTGAACAATATATAATAATATCATGTTTATATATCACGTTTCATTTTTAATGCCTGTCTGAATTCATATATTGTTTTTGTTCATTTTCCATGAAAGTTCATTGACCATAAAACCCAAATGTAGGTCTAAATTTGAAGTTAGCTGTCATTAAACTGGTCTGCTCTGTTTTATTCCAGGAAAACTATAAAAGCTTTCTTTTAATAATGGTTTAATTTTTTTCTTCATCTACAGAAGTTACCTGTGAGAGTGAACAGCTCATCAATGTTGACATTGTTGTTGGAAATCCAGGTATTGCTCCACCTTATAAACCTGGACATATTTTAGTTTTTCGATGCACAGATGTGAACCTGAAGATGCAAGGCCAACGAGCAATTGAATGCCTGTCAAATGGAAAATGGGATTATCCATATCCGAAATGTGGAGGTATGAAGAAATACTGCTATAATATACTTGCGTTGAGTATTTAAGAATTGTTTTTGTTGAAATGTTTGTCAACATGCAAATTATGAAATGTTTATCATGTATAATAAATGCATGTACTATATATATATATATATATATATATATATATTCTTGATACAAAAAATTTAAAGAAAATAAAAAAGGTAATGACAACGTTACCATCTATGTGTTATTCATTAAAACATCTATCATTAATGCATCAAACATTCACACATAAAACCAGTTCCAAACTGGCAATGACTTTAAGATTTTGTTTGCTGTCCTTCTTCATCTCATAGTGAGTTGATTAACAGCTGACTAACCCCAGTCTCCACTATACAGCAAAAATAAATAAAAATGATATACTGGTACAGTTGGGCATTAACCAGACATTATGGCTGTTGGGCAAAGTTAATTTTGTGAATGATTTTCACCTATAAAAACTGTAGGTTTAATCCTTGATGATTATATTAAGACAAATGACAACTTCTGATGAATGATTAAATAAGTTCAGATGGATGACTGCAATGACTAGTATTTCTTCTTTCTCTAGATGTAACATGTCTTCTAAACACAAAAGAGAACACCATCAAAATTAATCAATTCCCTGATTTTGAGTGTCCAGTCAAATCTGGATATAATTTAACGTTTTCATGCAATGGACAAGGACTGATTTTAAAAGGACAGAGAGAAATCACCTGTCAGTCAAATGGAGAATGGAGCAGCCCTTTTCCAAAATGTGAAGGCAAACACACAGAAGGTAAAAACATTGAATAAGTTGTCAGTATATTATTATCTCAAGCATCACTTTTGCTCATTAAAATATATGCACAAATTGGCTCACAACTCATCGGGTCTTTCACTCTCTTGATTTGGGCCAAGAAGCAGATATCGAGAACAACATAGCAACCACAAAGTTATGTACTAGTAATGTGGCAGCGGGTTTCGCATTGTGATGATTAGTTAATGAATGTATATTGTGACACTGATAGTGACATGCTGGGTTTATTTCAGAGCCCTGTACAGTGACGGTAGAGGAAATGGAAAGAAGAGGTTTAGAGTTGGCCTATGCTAATCGACAAAAGGTGTTCATACCCCATAATGATCACATCACCTTTATGTGTCAGAGGGGCAAAGTTTTAGGAGGTGTTCGCCTAAGACAACAGTGTAGTGATGGAGTGATAACTTTACCTGAGTGTGTGAGACAGTGAGAGTAAAACTTTGCTAAATCACTACTAAGTAAAAACTAATGGAGCAGATCAAAATAAAAAAAAAATTTCCCAATCAGTTTCTTTATTTTAAATTTCTTGCAAATAAAACTAAAGAAATGCTAAAAGCAGTATTTAAAATGAGCATGTTTGAAAATAACATTAAACCATTTAATGTCAGCTAAGTGAACATATATAGTGTACAGAGTACAATAAAAACTTTTTTTTTTAATTTAAATAAAAAGTTGCAAAAACTTTATGAGAAAGTTAAAAATAATAATGTAGCCAATTTTTTTTTTTTACTATCATGCAAATATGGGGGAAAAGGAAATACATGTGTTATTAAACTTTATTGTTACTTTGTGCCATGTGCTCTTGGTTTTCTGCTGATTACGAATTTGCTTATATATATGATCATGATTTATATGAAACACAGCAGTAATACATAAATAATAGACCCTTTAATATTTATATGCCTGTAATGACATGCTTTCTGTGCTTATTTTTTGGAGCTATGACGCCATCTTTTAAAAAATCAAACTGGAATGCCAGCCATGCTACTGTATATGAATGTGTACTTTCATAGCAGACAGGTCTATAAAAAATACATAGTCTTTTTAGACTCTTAAAAATAAAAGATTCAGCTAATATTAGTGCAAAAACATGGACAAAATGTTTAAACCAAAGTCAGCAAATTGAATTGCAACATGAATTTGTGAAGAAGAAAGCTGTCGAGTTTTCATCAAATCATTGTGGGGTGGAGCTGAGTCCTGTTTGGTCAGCCTAGTCTCATGTTTATACGTAGGTATTAATACGTAACATTTACAAGCACAAAACGTACACTTTTGTACGTTTTTATTAATGCTAAAACGTACAATTTAGACGTAGCCTATTTCAACGTTTAAAACGTACACATCGCTACGTATTTTTAGCTAAAAAACGTAAAAATATTTATGTATCTTTTATATCATTAAGATATTCGTATCAATGCATTTTTATAATTTTATCAATAAGCGATTTAGATTTTTAGACCCCTTAACCTGCCCCCAAACCTAAACCTAACCTAAATGTATAATACATTTTATAGCGAATATGAAAGGATAAAATGCAAATGACCGAAATACGCAGGAAAATAACAATTTTAGTAACAATATAGCATTAAAATATTAATTATTAATTCCACTCCTACCTATAAACCTAAACATTTCTGTACAGTATAAGAAAAACATGACAGACAGATGCCATTACAATCATTTATTTATTGCAAAAATGTCAAAAGCAGTACCAAAAGTAATCCAAATGACGATGCGTTGCACCCGCAGTCCTCTCTGGCGGAATACAGTAGGTTTGTGTGATCCAGAGCAGAATTTATGTTGTTAATCGCTGAAAATATTATCTTGATAATTTTCCCGGATCCACTCCGTGAATTCGAAACGACAGGTTTTACGGCAGGATAATCGAACGCTCATTGGCTCTCGCCTGCATTTGTCACAGATTGCGACAAGCAGTGTTTCTGTGTTTGAATAACGCGCGCGTGCCTTCACGAATTTGAAGCGGCAACATTTGAATTTGTAAAGAGCGCGTCAGTCAGCGCGGGCTTTGCT